GTACCTAGAGAAGCATACAATAATATTTTCTTAATATCTGCTTTTGTCTTTATCTGTCTCCCTTTCTTTGTCTCTGTCTCTGTCTCATATTCTTCTTTCAGATCGCATTAGATCATTTATTATCATCATTAAGTAACTTAGATTAAATGGAAAGACCAACCCCAAGGTGCAGCATTCACTATAAGTGTTTCTGGTATATTTTAGTCTATAAAATAATTTGGGGCCTTGAAATGCCCAGACACTTTGCATTATAGATGAAAATGAATGAAAGGGCAGTTGTCATATCTCAACATATAACTGCTAAACAAATTACACTCGGTTTTGATATGAGAAGATTAGAAATCCATATCCCAGTCAGTATTATTTTGACATGATTAAGCCTCATATTAGTTACCGAGGGATTTGTTTGTATGTGTGTATGTGTGTTTGTGTACTTGCTTTGAAGTCAGTTCATCTTAAAATATTATTTTCCCCAAATTGTGAACAATGGAACAAAATCTTTAAATGATCATATTTGAATATAATGACAACCAAAATATATACAGAAATGTGACAGAAAGGCTCATGTATACATTTTAGCCCTTTCTTTTGTAAGGACAATGTTTATACAGAGGTTTAGCTTCTAGCATGGAAAAATGGGAAGAGTAATGAATGTGGAATCTAAGGACCTGGGTTCTAATTTTGATTTTACACCTACTACTTACATGAACTTGTATAAGTGATTAAATTATTCTGGGTCTCAGTATCCTCATCTGTAAAAGGAAGAGAATGGATTTGTTGAACTTATGGTCCTTCAATTTAAAATCTTTGATCCTATAAAAATAGTGGACTATTGCCTCTTGCCTAAAAAGCTGCTCATAATTTTAGCTCATAATAAGTAAAGTGAAGCCTGAAATAGCAGGAATGCTCAGGAAATGAGATTGCCTATTTAACTGAATTTTCTGGTTAACTTTTCCTTAGCTAGATGGTTTTCAGAAAACTATTTTTGCCTTCACTTCTGAAAACCTTTGAAAATACAGTTATATAATCTCCTGCCTTACTAGAGTACTTTTATAGGGATCGTATTTTCCAAATAAAAAGTTGAAACACTTAATCAGATATCAAATATGACTTTTACGTAACTTCAAAGTGCAATTATTTTTAAGTGCATTGGATATATGATTATCTTAAATATGGTGCTCATAATTTAATGTTTCTTTCCTGAATGAGGACCTTTCAATGTCTCAGTATAATCATTCTGACAATATTATAATTATACATTACTGTATGAGGTAGAAGACTATCCTGAACATAGGGTGTCTCTTGGAATTTCCATTATTATTCAAGGGTTCTCTGTGTGTGTATGTTTTATGCTAAATCAGCAAGGTCGATTTTTTTTTTCATTTCATAGGGTCATAGGGTCACACATTTAGAGCTAAAAGGAACTTAAGGTCATGGAGTCAAATCCCAGCCTTTTACAAACAAGGAAACTTAAAGCCAGAGAGGCTAAGTCTGCCAAAGATTGCACGGCTATTGGTATCTGAGGCTAAAATCAGACTTCAAGCTCAGTGCTCTAAGCAGGGTAATACTTAACTATCTCTTGCTGAAAGAACATCAGATTTATTGAAGTTTATATTCAACTGGATTCCAGCTAATTGATGTCTTATTGAAGCCCATTTTTTTCAGTGGATTATAGGATTTATATGTAGAACACAGTAGAGTTTTTTTTATTCCAGATACCATTTGAGAGATGGTGAATTTACAGTCCACAGATTATACAAGTATTAATTAGCAGGACTGGTGTTTGAACCTAGATTAACTGAGTCATAAGTCTATCTTTTCCCTGTTACTCCTCTGATTTGCTAGCTTTATGGTAGTTTAGATTGTGTGTTGCATTGACTTATTATTTCCCAAATGGCTGCTTTCTTAGACTTTATAATGGTCTCCAGAAACTCACCATCCTGCAAAACATCAACTCCAAAATTCACACCTGCTCAGTACTCACTGCCCCTGGAGTCCTTCCCTCCCTTTGATTGGAGAGTTGGAGGGTGGGCGTTGGAGCTCTCTCCCACTACCCCCTGCAGAGCTCCTCCCAAATCCTTCATTTAAGAAGAGCACCCAGGGCAACCATTTGATCATTTCTCACTGACTTCAGGACCTCATTATGTCCCCATTCCCCTATGCTGGTACCCTCCCTCTTTCTCTTCTCCATTTCTTAGCTGCTTTTTATGTGTCATCTCCCTCCATTAGATTGTGAGCTCCTTCAGGACGTAGTAGGCACTTAAGAAATGTTTTATTGATTGACTCATTGATTTGTAGCATTCAGTTAGCAAGCTAAATATCAGGGATTGGTTTATAAAAATAGCTTCTGAAGTACTCTGTAGGGTGAGAAGTGATTCAGTTCAACCTTTAGTGCATTCTATTTCTAAAGTACTATATGATGATAATTAGTGGTAGAGAGAGATAATCTGGTGTAATAACAAAAGCTCCAGATTGTATGTCAAATGATCTGCCTCTAAAATAAAGTATGATTTCTTGTTTGCTGTTTAAATCTCATCACAATCTGGCTGCAACCAATCTTTTCATACAGATTTCTCATTAATCCCACTCACTAATTGTATATTTAGGTCAAGATGGGTTTACTTTCTGTTCCCCATGAACAACACATCTCCTACCACTGTTCCTTAACACAGGCTGCCATTCAGGTTTACAATGTTCTGCTTCCTCATTGCTGCCTGTGGGACTCTCTAGCTTCTTTCAACACTCAGCTGAAGTGCTACCTTCTCTCATAGACCATTCTTAATTACACCAATATTTAATGCTCCCCAGAAATGACTTTGTTTTTTATTTTATATGTACATATATATACACTTTATGTATATATATATATATGTATGTATATATATATATATATATGTATGTATATATATTTATATATACACTCCTTGAGAACAGAAATTTTTCAGTTTGCATTTTTTTCCTCAATGCCTAACACAGGTACTGACACATTGTTCTTGGTCTAGACCTGGGCTTCCATTCAGCTAAGTAATCTATCAATCTATCTATCTATCTATCTATCTATCTATCTATCTATCTATCTACATGTTAATACATTCAAATATAAATACATATTTATATGTGTGTGCATATGTGTACATGATGAACAGCATGATTTAAAATTGTCACTTTGTGAGAAATAACATAACTTATTAAATTTCATATGAATTGTATACAAGCAATAATAAATCAGTGATGAAATTATTTATCTTACATTCATTCAAAAATAAAATATAGTACAGACTTTCATCCTTATTAACTAGGTAACTATCTCTACGATCTTTGCTAGTGCTACATTCATCACAGATTAGATGAAAAAATATTTTATTATTTTCTTGTTGCTTGAAAAATGAGTTTCCTAGGTTGGGTTTTACAAATACAGCTCATTGACAAGAGTACATTATTTCGCTTGTGCATTGTATTAGAACAGAAGTTATATTTCACCTTAAGGAGATGAAGGGGGAGGAGCAGGCATTTATATTATTTCTTTCCAGTGAGTCTCTGAGAAATATGGGAAAGAAACAGATTTTTATCTTTTTCTTTTTTTGTGGCAGATTTCTTTTCAGTTTCTGTTTCTTTGAGGGAATTTAATGTTAATGTTTGCTTTTATTTCCATTATACACATAACTTTACTTCTTTGAAGTTGTATCTTCTTAAGAGAAATATACTCTGTTGTGTGGGGAAAAATACTTCCTGACTTTTCACAGGTCCTTGTTCATCTTCTACATGATGAGCAGCAAGCAGAAACAAGATGGAAAGCACACCTCTTAGAACCTACACCACAGTGACAGAAATGTCAGTGACAACATCCTTTGGTGTGAAAGTTTTATCAGGTTGACAGATAGCTTACTGAGCTCCCACTGAATGGGGATCTCTAGGGAGAAGGGAGGTCAAAGGCAGTGAAAAGGCTATGGACCAAACATATGATTTGGAATAAGAAATGAACCTGGAAAAATCCTAGAGGCCCACAATTGCTTTTGATGTAAGGTGGTAATATTCTCCTGTATTTCTCTTCATTCTCTACCCACCTCTGTTCCTATACTCTTTCTGCTTTTTTCCAGGTTCAGTCCCTGTGCAGAGTTTGATCTTATGTACAATCCTCTCTAGGTTTCCTTGCACTTATGCCCTGAAGTATAGTCTTTTGAAGTGAGCACTGACTAGGCCTAGTTATTCAGGCAACTTTTATCCATCAGTAAGACATTTGGATGATTCTGTCATTTGAATGGACAGGAGCTACTGCAAGTAACTGGTTGAAAAAAATTCTCCCAGGAGTGAATAATAGTGTTTTACTTTTCAAATCATCTTCAAGCACAACTAAATAAACTGGTTGTTTATGGCATTCATGCCCTGACTATACTGGAATGAGGTAGCAACCCTGTTAAGATGCATGATTGAAGTCAGTATTCTGCTGTTAAGGAAAATGGCTTTTTGGATATGGCCTGAAGATATTTATAGAGTGTATTTTCAAATAATAATAGGTTAGTGATAACATTAATAAAGAAATTCCACCTCTAGTTCTTGGGACTATATTTTTATTAGATGCTTGTAGCCAAAATGTTTTAGCAATTATTGAGGAAATTAGATCATTTGAACCAGGATGGTACAGTGGTAACAGCTGTGCTTGGAGGCAGTGGACCTTTTTTCCAAATTCTGGCTTGGCCACTTACTGCTTATGTGATATTGAGTAAGTTACTTAACCTTTTCAGGGCTCAGTATCCTCATCTGTAAACCGAGTTGGCTCTGAGATTTTTTTTCCAGCTTTAAATCTATTATCTTGTGATCCAAAGATCAACAAATAAGTAATTAAACAATAGATTAATGTGAAAAGATCTTAAGTAATTGAATGACCTTTTAATATAAAATGTAAGGAATAACTTCGATTTTAGCGTGGAATTCTACAGAACTAGAGAACTTTTGACTTATTTGTAAATTTGAACTAAAAGGAACTCTAATTGTTATTGCAGGTTTGGTTACAAAAGTACGGCTACCTTCCACCAACAGACCCCAGAATGTCGGTGTTACGTTCTGCAGAGACCATGCAGTCAGCTTTAGCTGCCATGCAGCAGTTCTATGGCATTAATATGACAGGAAAAGTAGACCGAAACACAATAGAGTAAGTAATAGTAACTAAACCGTTCTCTCTTTTTTTTTCTACTGCTTCTAAACAAAGTATACTGTAGAAACAAAGAAACAAAAAAAATAGATTCTGATAACAGCACTTGTTGGGCAATGTAGTTTCTTAAGATCTTTACTTTCAACTTTGCCCTTTTATGTCTTTCTAACTTTGTGACATTACTTGGCAAAGACCCCATGTTGTATATTGCTAACCATTATTGGGAGTATATTTTATGCAATAGTAAAAGGGTATAATCATATCATGGAATCCTTTAAAGGTTTCTAAGACAACTTCAGAGAACTATGAATTGCATGAACTTTGTTACTGATTCCTTCCACTCTTTAGGGCCCCTGTGTACTAATTGGCCTTAGTATGGATCAACAGATTTGACTTTCTTTGTAAATAACATACCTAAATTAGCTCAACAGGTTCTAACACATTTACATGATTACGGAATGTTATTATTTTCTTTTACCAATCTAAATTTTATATCCAGATGAAAGCCTTATAGTTTTCCATGAAGTTCAAAATTCATATAGTATAACTTAATATAGTTACTAACTTCAAAGAAATTTTGCAAAACATTTGCTAATTAACTTGCCCAATAACCTTTAAGGGTATGTAAATATTATTCTCATTTTGTAGATGGGGAAATTGCATCAAGGAGTTTTGATTATTTGCCTAAAGGCATGTAAGAACTTGCTGTCAGGACTGGAATTAGAATGCCAAAATTTCTGATTTACAGCCTTGTGCTGAGGGAAATTTCTTCTGAATGTTGTATAATCTAAAGTATTTTTTAAATGAATAGTAATACACTTCTCATTAAAACTATGAAATTATATTTGATAAAAATATAAAGAAAATATATTTCTAAAAAGAAAACAACAAAAAAATTGAAAATAATTTAAAAGCATGGAAAACCTTTTTTGCAAAACAGAAAAAGAATATACAGACATATATTATATGTTCACATATGTGTATATATGTACATGCATGCATATAAATGTGTATGTATTGGTGTGCATATATATGCATATGTGTATGTATGTGTGTGTAGACACATACATATATATGCAACATCATTTAATTTAAATCAACCCCCAAAGCCAACAATAATTGAACAAATGTGCTCAAGAGTGTCCCTAGTTAGCTGCCTCCACCAAGAGAAAAATTCTTTTATTTCTTTTCCCTGTGATCTGTATATCATATAATGTAATGCTTTTAACATAGTAGATAGCACATATGGTAATTTGGAATGTTCACCCAAAATGTTGATTCTAACAGTGTTTGAATGCATATTTTATTTGACAGACAAATATAGCATTGTACTAGAAAGAAATAACATACAAACATGTGAGGACTGTCCCAACAAGGTGTCATTTAGTGAAACATACTTCTATGTAGAATTCTTTACAATAAGGATCAGTTATATTTTGGACATCCACCATATTCAAAGCACTATACCATGTTGTAGGAAATATGAACAGGAATGGTCCTATGCTCAAAGAACTTATTTATTTTTATTGGGAATATATGATAAATGCTGAACAGGTAGGAGATGCAATAGAATGGTGGGCTTGGGCTCAGGAAGACCTGAGTTCAAACCCAAATTCTGTTGTTTCCTAGCTGTGTGACCTGGGAAACTTACTTAATCTCTGTCCTCCTCATGTTCCTTTTTTGTAAAATGGAGGTAATAACAGAACCTAATTGCTGCCAGGTACTGCTACTTGAAACTATGAAGATCATATTAGGTAACATTGAAAAAGTGTTTAGTACACTAACTGTTATATAGTAGAAACTTTAAGAAAAAGTGTTTATTCCCTTCTCTTCTCTTTCTTGAATTCATAGGAATATGAGTGGTAGCAACATGTTTGTGACTACCTTCAATTCAACTAAAACAAATGCAAAAGAATTGTCAAGGTGAGGAGTTAATACCAGTTCAGTAGAGACAGTGACAAAGGCCAAGAGGAGTAATACCAGAATGGATTGATATAAAATTTTTTAAATAATTATCTGGTGATGATTTTTAATGAATAAAAATGGTATAAACTTTCTAGCAAAGAGTGTATAATTCCTGACTCACCTTGCCCCACCCAGGGCCACCTGACTGTGAAACTTGACTGCCCTCTATGACCATTACAGATTACACCTTACCTATGATGGGATGCTTGGCTACCTCAATGTGTGAGGGAAAGAACAGGAGCTTGTGAATAGGAGAAATATATAGACAAAGGCAAGTAAAATAGAGTTCGATGAATATCATGAGGAGAGAATTCTCTTAGGTGAGGACTAGAAATTCTTATAAGGCCAACATCAGAGATTTAAATTCAATCATGTTCTGCATAAAGTTCTAAATTTTGGCTTAATAACAAGGCAATTTGAGGAAAGTAAGGTTAAAGGGCAAGGGATTACTAAGTTTGGTGAACTCTTTACTGGTCTCCACTTATATTTCCAGCTACATATGCTTCATAGCATTGGAACTACTCACATTTTCCATTTTTCAAGCAGAGGCAATTACAGGGGGCATACCTATCTCATAAAGTGATATCTATGCCTTTTCTGTGTTATCAGACCTGCAAAAAATACTTGGAGTGAGTTCACAGTGGAAGGATCTGATTTCCTTAAAATTAGTTATGTTCCTCACTAAGAGGCAGTGGAGGAGGTATAAGTAGAGGTTTTATTTGCAACCTAAGGAAGAAAAGGAATCTCAGTGATTTAAGTATCAGCTAATTCATGTTATGATTTTTTGATTGTCATAGAAGTAGAGGTGAAAGAATCATCATAGAATTATAGATCATAAGGTAGAAGAGACAGAGGCTTATCTTGTCTACTCTCCTTATTTTTACAGATAAGGAAACAGGCTCAAGTAGATAAAGTGATTTACTGTTACACAAATAGTAAACAGGCTAGATTTGATGGAAAATTGTGACTTGTAAGCAGTGCTCTTTCTACTGAACTACATTGTCTTCCTAAACAAAGAATGCCCAAATTTGAAATGGGTCATATCACAAAACTAACCTTCCTTCCTTCCTTCCTTCCTTCCTTCCTTCCTTCCTTCCTTCCTTCCTTCCTTCCTTCCTTCCTTCCTTCCTTCCTTCCATTCTGTAACTGTTTTCATGAATTTCAATTTTTAAATGATATAATTCTGTCCAGAAATATTCCTTTGGCAGAGTTTGTATTAATTGAAATAGACATGGGGATTCTGGTTTGAGGCTCATTTTCCTTTCTTTATTTCCCTTTTTTATATCTCTTTGCTCATGGCTTTTGGCTATATTTGTTCCACAGGGATACTGTAGGGCTCCACTATTGGTGCTTAGTATTTAAACTATTATTGGTTCCTACTTGGCTGTTGTTGCTTTTAACTAGTTTTGCTGCTTTGAAACCAACTAATCCATGCTTCTCAAGAATTTAGAAGTTAGTCTCCATGGATTTCAGAAAAATGATGATGCTAAAAATAAGGTAGAGGGAAAAAATATAATGACCAGTCTGTGGTTACATTGGTATGGAAAGTTTCTTAGTGGGTCAACTCCCTCTATAAATTCAAGTCAGCACTTTCTCTTTAACTTTTAGTCATAAAGAGTTACCTAGAATACTTAGAGGTCAAATGACTTACCCAGGTTCACACAGGCAGTCTTAGGTGAGACTTGAACCTATTCCAAGACTATCTCTCTAAAAATGATGTATAACACCCCAAAAATATTGTTTTGCTGAATAGCAGAGTAGGTAAATAGTTGGTATAGTGAATAGAGTATTGGACTTGGCAGTCAGGAAAACCAGAATCCAAATCCTGCCTCAGACATTATGAGATATATGACTGTAAGCAAGTCTTTTTGCCTCTCTGCACCTCAGTTTTCTCATCTGAAAAATAAGGATAATAATATCACCTACCCTCCCCCCCCAGGATTGTTTTGAGGATTAACCAAGATAATATAAATAAAGCACTTTTCAAACTTTAAAATGCTGTAGAAGTTCTATTTTTATTACCTCAAACATTTGCTTTTTATTTGAAGATGCAGATAAAGGTAGACTCAGAATGTTTTACTGAGAGAATTGGAAATAGAGTTTGAAGAAATAGGGAATAGGTGTTAACTGTGATGTACATTTTGATAGCAGCTCTAATTGAGGATAATTAATTAGTTTTAAAATTATTAAAATATCTGCTCACATAACTGTAGATCATCTTGATTCTTGCCACAAGAATAGTAAACCAGGTGTCACCAATCTCTTATGATTTCAATTAAAAAATATAAAAACAATGAATTGGCAGCATCGTATGTTACTACTTTGATCCAGTTGCCTTCTTCAATTAAACCTAACCTGAGACTGAGGGAAGAGTATTAGAAATTCAACAGATGTTTTTGGTGATTGAATCTTGTCAGTATTAGGTCATTCTAGAGACATCTAAGTGAGGTTTCTTCAGTGATATGAAACAACAACTACTGCATTTACATATGAAATTTGAAATTAAAATTTGAGTCGCTAGACAATTCAAATGAATTCCCCTAGAACATTTTGAAACTACCTTTTCAATTGTGGATTTCATTAGACTCAGTTACCTACCATAACGATGTCATTTATTCATCTGTGTAAAGATAGGGCTGTCACAAAAAGAACTCATTATCATCTCCTATTTCCTCAACCCAATTATAGTTGCATCAATTCTAACATTATTAACTATTGGGCACTAATTATTAATAATTTGGGTAGTGCTGCCTAATGAACATGATAACTATGCCTTCCTGCTACAAAATCAATTTCCTCAGGTGAGAAACATGGCAATTTGGAAGAAGTGCATGTTTACACAAACTCTGCTTTTTATTTCTGTGAATACAATTAATTATTTTTTAGTCATTTTATTTGTGGACCACAAAGCTCCACACTGTCAACTTTGTAAAATGGATCTATATGGAAGGTTGAAAACTTTTTGAGAAAAAAAATCTGGACCAAAATAAGCTATCCTTTTGTCAACTTTTTGATTACTAAATTAATTTTAACTC